CGAAAATAGGGGTACCTTATTTTGAGCTCCTTATAGTAGGGATCCTAATATTTAGGGTTTTATATTGGGGTCCCCTATTTTCGGAAACTCCTGCTTCTCATAATGCTCAGCACAAAACAGATTCGATCATGGAACTACTGGCAATCCACACAGATCTAGATCTTTAAACTTAATTGAAGACTTTCAATGAGTACAACTTGTAACTTTCCTGCAAGCTATGTCCTCGTCGAACTTTCTGGTCCAGAGAGTCTTCGGTACAAAAAGGGATGAATGTGAAAGCGGAAACAGTCAGGCCCCTGAGCACAGAACAAACAGCAGTGCCGTCTGCAGCTTAGCAGTCATATGTGCCTGTCACTTGCCGTTTTGCTAATATCATATATCTGCATCGTGGCTCGCCTCGCACCTGCAGTACACAGTTACATGCCCATCCGAGTTTGCAACTTGAGGACTTAAGGCTACCAGTAATCAACACGACTGGCCAGGAATTGCCTCGATGATATTGGAATTTTCGCGTGATCGTACTAGGCCAGCAGACTGGTGTTCAGGCCAACCGCTCCCACCGGACATTGCACTCGGGATTGTACTTTGTCGAGTTCTGACAGCAAGCTCAGCCAATGGATGCTTGATCGATTGCATTGGCAACAACTGCGACTCTTCCCGGAAGCTTGCACACACAGATGTAGGGTCCCATCGAATGAGGTTGCATGTCAGCAGGCATTCAGCATTGTCTGAAGGCCGTCCTCGAGTCTCAAAGCACGTGGCAGATCGATCCTCGGGCACCAACGTTCTTTGCCCTAGGCCCTAGGATGCAGCTGCCAGCCAAAGTATAAGCGGGCACTATAACCTGCAAGAGTGGCGCGACAATTGGTGCATGCTGAAGTGCTTCTGAGGACCAGGCACAGGGAAGGGTGTAGATCTATCCGCACGTGCATCTGGATAGCAAGAACGCAATTGCTGATGTTCGTGGATCCTTCTGCTTTGCAGGAAGCATGCTCTTGACCATCGTAATGCCAGCTGATGAGCAAAACCTTAAATACACTCGGTTGGTTGATGTGTCCCAACCTACGGACGAGGGTTTTGACCTAGAAGACAAGTGAGACACCAAACCAACTACTATCAAAGCACAGCTTGCAGGGGAAGTGCTTGGTTCGAGGAAGTGTATGTGGCACTGGGGAGAGTTGTTGTAAGAAAACATTTGGGCGATAATGTCCTGTTCGCTGTGACCACAAACAGCCAATTGCGCAACAACCTTCGACAGATTTGTTCGTGTGACCATTGAGAAAAGTGATCGACTGCATGAATTTGCTCGCTCTTCGTGCAATGCAATCGCGCGCGAGCAAGTGTATATGGCATCCAGGTATATGCAAAACAAGATCTGGCTGCTAGGTAACCCAGTAAGAATAGAATGGCGACTGGTGATATTTTCTAACTGCCACCCATAGAGGATATATCCAACTGCCAAGATATAGAAGCGTTTGCTGCATGCTACTTGTAATCAGTGCTTAGATACGATGTTTAGGGATTAACATATATTTTGGGAAACATCAACACGGATTGAGGGAGGAGGGAAATAGTTGATGATATGTATGCTGAGTTGTCGTTAAAATCTCGCTCGAAGAGGTGATGAAGAATTAGACTGGTAATACCGGTGATGTCATGGCACTCCACTACAACATCGCATACTATACCCACAGAAATTTGTGCATGAAAGAAGACGTCAGGTAACTCTGGCAGAGCAGTTCTGGTCTGCAGGTTGTTTAGGAAAATGGGAGAACACGGATTTGACGTGACTGTGTTGGGATCTCATTAGAAGAATAGAACGTATGGTACTGCATCCGTCATCTTGTGTCTCCTGGGTGCTTGGGCAAGTCAGCGAGGTAAAATCAGTACCGTAACGATTGCGATGGCGGTGCAGACGACGGAAACAGTGTTACATCTCATTATTCTCACGGTAATCCTAACTATGCTATTTCCCTGTACTACTGTTGCTCTTCATTGCTTATTACAGCTACACTGCCTTCTCGCTCTATCGCCTTTCACCATGCTCGTGTCTCCAAGTGTGATGCTGTGAGGGCATACTCTCAGCACCAGGCCAGCTTCGCAACTCCTTCCGGCTCAGTGCACACAGGCAACCATTGGCCCGAAGCATGTGCAGCATTTACTTCCTGCAGTGGAATGGCAGCAGTTGTACACTTCGAAGCACTCTGAGCTAGCTGCCAAATTCTGATGAAGTGCTTCCGTCCTGGTGGCCACCGATGAAGACTGATACTAGGTGACATGGGCATATTTCGATTCGGTGTATCTCACGCTGCTTCAACTTGATGTAAGTCAAGTCGGCCAACACCGCAGGGCCTGCAGCCGCATTCTCAGGACCGAAAGCGACGACCAACCTGCATGGGCTGCCCAGAGCCAACTTCTCTGCGGTGAACAGCAGAGAAAATCAGGCGGGCCCGTTATCTGAACAGGAGACACTACGCAGCCAGACACGCATGTTGCCCTGCAAAGTTTGAGGATGGTTGCAGCAAGCTGCTAGCGTTCCGAAAGTTTGAAAAACAACCGAGAACTTGAGACATGGCTACGAAAGCTGAGGAGTGATCTGGAGGAGATAAGGGAGGCAGGGAGACTCGGTGTGTATGCGACGTGCTTAAGCTTATACTGTACAGGGACACACCCAGGGTTCGTCTTGGAACATCACGTTTCAAGCGGGTTTGGGAGCGGTACGGCAGAGGGGTAACCCCCTCGCCTGCGTAATTCTGGCACGAGCGTTGATTTCTTAAACCTGAGACCCAAAAAATGGTTTGCCGCCCGAGTTGACAGTCGGATTTCGTCTGAGTTAGACAAGTCCCGCAAGATCCTGAAGAGCCCGATTTTACGGTTTCAGGCACGGTGAGAGAAGGTGGCTCGTCACACCGCCGGACACACCAATCGCGAATACTGCAATATCTTGCGATCCCAAGATCTATTTCCGCCAACCGGCAAAAGGCAATCCTCCTCAAGAACACTCGGAGCAGAAGCACGCACTTCGTTTACAGTCAAGCACCAAGAAACTATGCAGAATTGAAGCCACATCGGGCTCCAAGACCCTCGACAAGTAACCATGAATGCAAGTCAACCCTGTTCCAAACAAGCCCACCCTGAAAGCCACAGTGGAAGCCAGCAAGCTGCTTTGTTTTAAGTCTGAGCGTGCGACCATTTGGGAGAATCGTCGTCCTTGAAATTAATCGCAGTGACCACGTGCTGTTCCTGAAGAACCGGAGACTGACGCCCGCGGAATACCAGTGAGCCAGCCATGGCTCTAGGCTCGGAAGGAGGATTCGCATTTGTCAACTCAAGAGACCACAAGACGGACAACAAAGCAATCTTCACTGCCCCACCACCAACTCGAACGAGATGCTCCGGCCAGACATCTAGTATAGCCGGTGGCCCCATCCCGTTCCAACCCGTTGCGAGTTTGAAAAGATACGCGAAGACATACAAAATTACAAATCACTGACTCGAACCCTCCCCCTCAAAGCGCAGAAACACGCAGCAGTTCTGCAAACGACAGCGCCGCCTTAAATTCCAGGGTAAGCTCGTGGATCAGAGGCGGTGCAGACATCATGGCTCCGGGCCTCAGGCCAAGACTCGCCCTTTCGCTGCAAGAAGCACTGCTGCGACAGTATATGAGTATCTGAGTATGTTGGTATATCAGTATATATCAGTATATTGGTATATTAGTATAAGAAAGGTCCCGACTGATGGCTCTCTTACTTGGTAGCTGATTGAGTTGTCGTATATTCATCTTTCTCATTGACCGAACAAGCCCAATCGCCCTTCTTCGGCAATTAAATGAGGGACCAGCTTTGCGGTGCCAGAGTGCAGCATCCCATAAACGTGGACCTAAGCGACATCGTAACGGTCGCCATTATAGCTGTAGCAGCACTACAAGTGCAGCCGCATGTCCGATGCACCTGGAGAAGCAGGAGCACTAGGGAGTGGTAGCATTTGCAGGGAATTTAGCTGCAAGTAGTAAAACCGAGGTACAAGTCGCAGCATGCCAGCTGCAAGCCGTCTTCCAAATTAGATCTGGTAAGGCGAGTGATTCGGTGATGCACATTCAAATCCATGAAGCAGGCATGCGAGCGGAGGGTGAGCAAGGAGACCCATCGAGATACTTCGGCGGTTCACGATGTGTGTGAGGCGTGCTCCACGACTGCGGCGACGATGTACAATGTAAGACGATGTGGTGCACAGGTCGCATCGCGCAACTCCGAACTGCACAGCCCTTCTGTTGCTCTCCCACCTGTCGCGAGCTCGCCACGGCCAAACGCCGTGTGCCAGTTGCCCAGGGTGGTGACTGGGCACATTTTGCAGCTGACCTATCCTACCTGATGCTGCAGACACTGCGAAAGACGAGTGTGATGCAGCTGTACTCGGCTTGGCACAAACGCAATAAATCGTGGATCAGCCAGCGTAATCTCGGCCTGGGCATCGCACTTCCACCAACACGGAAAAACCGGCTACGCGTACGGAATCCAACCACAAACCAGGTTCCACTGGCTCCAGCGGTAGCCAGGCTTCCGGCCTCTGCTTGGCTGAACTCGGGCGCATCCGGAGAGAGCCCATGGCTTTGGCCATCCTGTCGCCACGCTCCGAAACACGGGCAATTCATGCCTTCAACCCGCACTAGCAAGCCTTCTCGCGGATGCTGCAGCACATGCTGCGGCTGATCGGAGCGCCCATCTCCTGACATGACGACACGCATCGTAACAAGCTCTGGCGGCTGAGAGAAGTCCAAACAGCTCAAGCACAATCTCGCCTTTAACCCCTCCATTCCAACAACTCCCCCGACACGTTTCTTGAGCTGCACGGCTTGGAACTCTGTAACGTAATTCAAAATTTGCTCTGTAGCTGCGACGTCACTCCATCGAAGCTTCAAGCAGGCTGGAACACTACGAACATCTCCTTGGCGGGGGATGACGCTTGACGCCTCTCAGGTCATGCAGAGGCTCAGCCAGACTTCAGTCATCCTCCAGCTCCTCGGCTACAGCGGCCATCTCAGCCTCGTCCTGCATCCAGAAGCTGTTTTGCAGCATGTCTGCAAAGAGCTTTGCACGGTCGAGCTTCTTTCCATCCACATAAACCGTGCCATAGGTGTCGTCGATGACTCTGTGTCCTTCAGCATCGAATCCATGCACATGGATGCCCCAAATCTCTGGCGCATCTCGGCTCCAAAACAGCGCTGGCGTGGATGGCCAACACATCAGGCGATGTACCTTCGTGTCAATGTGGATCTCCTTGTTCTGGGGGTCAATCTTCTCCCCCACGATCTCTCGGCGCCAGGCCCGCTCAAAAAGCTGCAGGGGATTGCCAATGTTACCACCGCGGCAAAATATCTCCCGCCCACATGTACCACACAGGTGCTTCTTGTGCGCGTTCTCCCCGAAGAAATCTCCGATATCCTCGTGCAAGGCACCGCAATGCTTGCATTTCACAACATCTGTGAGATCCACGCTCGAGCGTGGCAGGCTCTGAGCTTCTTCCAGGTTCAGCTGAAGCTGGGCATTCACTGGGCAACGATGCTCCATGTAGTACAAGTACTCCAGGGCAGCGGGTGATGTCACAAGGATCCCGGACTCAGGAATCTTTGGAAATCGCCCTGTAGCATCCTTGATGCGCACTGCAGGGAAGTTCTTGTCGATCACCTTGGGCCCTCCCAATTCCTTGCGTGCATGGACGTGAATCCCCGCATAGAAGTACTTGGCCTTGTCGTTGTAGGTGTCGAGTGCCGGGGCCAAACCAATCCAGATGCCACGCTCACAGAAGTCATTTTCTCCACGCACCTTACCAGGTGCTACTAGCTTCAGTTCAAGGACCTCGGAAGAGCGGACAAAGTCCATCAGAGCATCACACCGATCACAGCACTTGATTCCTGTCTTCGCAGCTTTGGCAACCTGGGCCTTTCTTCCGTAGCTACCCTGATGGATCGGGCACCACCATCGCTCGGCCCCATTCCGGAACTTGGAAGTTGGTATCAGCTTGCAGGGCAGCTTCTGCATGCGAGCCATGTGGATCTCATACACTCCATGGCGCTGGATTCCCGCCAGATGTTGCCCAAGAGGTTCATTATCCTGCACGTCCACAGAGGTGTGCCCAGCCCGCTGCAAGTCTGATGGCCAGAACTCATACTTCATCATGCTGCAGCGAGACCGTTTGAACATCTGCGGCACAGCCATAGCGGCAAGGCCTGGTGCGTCAATTCGAGATGCAAGTGGAAGGAAAGCAAAAGGCAGCAAACCACAAACTTTGCGGTTAGGCTGCACAGGCATTCTAGCAACTTGAGCAAGTATGGCGGCCAGAAGCCTAACGCCACAGACCGCTTGAAGCTCGAACACCGACTCGCGCACAAGCAGGCTTCATTCACCCAACAAACCTTCAGGACGCAAAGACTCGAACGCGGTCTGAGAGAGCCGTCCTCCACGGCGCCAGAGACCGATAACTTGGAAAAGCAGCGCTGCAACGATTGCCCGGCAAGGCTGCACAGCCCGTCCGAACTTACCCTGCACGCTCTTGGGTATGTAAGTAGCCCCGTCGTCAGGCTGCTCACCTATCAAGTCATTCGGCATTTGCAGTGGCTTTGACCATATCATGATTTGAGACCCTCTATCCTGGCAGGCACGTTCATCTTGACCTATGTACTTGCACTCTCTCGCAAGGAACTGCAATTCTACCACGGCGTCACAGCACCGTTAAGCCACATGGCACACTGACCGGAAACGTCGCGTTCAATCTGCGGTGCAATCATTCATAGCATCGTCTGCCGAACACTTCAACAAATCGGGTCGTCCACATATGACACCGTTCTGCAGCGTTTGCAGCCTGAATGAACCACACGCTTTCATGACCTCGCATGCAGTGTTTGGTGTAAGCATGCAAACACCTGCCTGAACCTGCTCTGCAAAGACTTCCCTCAAAACAGTTTGCTCATCTGCGCAAAAGCTGTGTGCACTGCCGCCGATTCTTCAAATTAGGCAAGAGTGAAAGCAGTAAACAGCCAAGAGTCGATGCCAGAACTTTCGCTGAGGAAATCTCTCGGGCATCAACCCCTATATGAAGCGGCTGCGAAAGCTATTTTCGCTGGCCTACAACAGGAGGTTCGCATTTTCCCAGAGTGGCAAGTTCGAAACTTACCCCTGGCCCTCAAGCCTTCCTCCTTGTTTGACCGGTGCCTAGATGTCACAGACTGAGTGATTCCGGGCGAAAATGCTGCGACATCCTCGTACAGAGTAGGGTGCTTGTGACCCGGTGATGGGAACGTATCCCTCAGTCGCTGTTGGTCCTGTTCGCATTGGTGTCATCGTCCGAAGACTCCGCCTGGCGCGTCTTCCCTGTGAGTCCAGTCGTTTTTGCAGTCTGCCTCATCGCTTCAGCATCTGCGATTCCTCATGCCAGCCTCCTCCTCTTCACCTTCTTACTTGCTAGCAACAGCGGTAGCAAAAGTAGTAGACCTAGAAATAGAAGTGGTGGGAGGAGTAGGAGTACCAGTAGGAGTAGGCTTGCAGTTCGGGAGGGGCCTCGACGGAATTTTCTCGCTGGGCTGGGAAGACCGCCTGCGGCGCCTCCCCCACGAGAAATCCTGGCAAAACCCGGGACGCCGTCTTCAATGCTTGCTTTCTTCAAGCAGCTGTCCAGCTGTTGTATTTGACACTGTCCTCTCAAGTGACTCTAGCGTGTAGGTTTTCAAACCTGCGGCGAGTAATCGAATCTTGTAAGGCATCGTGGGTTCGAGGCTACTGCCGATACTATAGCCTATCCGCTGCATTTATGCTTCTCTCCGGCAAACAAGACCAGAGTCTTGGAATTCAGCGCTTCCGGAAGACTTCCAGAAAGTTGTGTGTGTGTGTGTGTGTGCGTGTGTGCATATATGTTTCTGCTTTCCCTTATGCAAGTATGTTTCTATTGAAATGAGTTGACTTGTTTCCATTTGACTTGCTGACGTGGTCGCTGCTATACGCACGAGGAACCAACGGTTTGTATTCCTTGTATTGCCTGCAAATTTTCTGAAACCTGTTCAAACAGCCTGCTTCGAATCTCCAAGGATACACAAATCTCCAAAAATACTAGGTCGTGTTGAGTCCCTCTGAGTCATAGTGGTTGTCATAGTGGTTGGGTAACGGGGGATTCCGTTCGGTTAAATGTCGGCTACGTTCGACTTATGCTAGAAAGGTTTCGTGACTCGGAGAAAACGGACATGTTCCTATTCTCGACTTGGAATACATAGAGTGTGTTCAGTTATCTGCAATCATGCTTCCGAAGTGCCAACTCTAGTTTCGTAACATATCAAGACAGAAGGCATACCCTGAACAGTTTATACAGAGGCCAGAACATACATAACAAATTACAAAACAAATAGTTCGATTCTGACCGCCACGAACACGAATGAAATAGCCCCGAGAACTCTTGATCTTGTGATTGGGCATCGAGTCTGGACAAAATTCGTTTACAGCTTCGCACCAGGGACTGTAGCATCTGACGAAAATATGCGATAACTCGAGAACATGCTTCATGTGGCTAGGCGTATCTTGCTTGAACTTGTCTGTCAGGTATAAGTTGCAGGAAAACTTACTTGTTGCTTCCTTTCGGCGAGATGGGAATATTTTTTTGCGGCCGTACTGATTCAATATTCGCACGCTATCGAATTGGCAGCCTGGGTTACATCCACAATGAAAGCTCGGTTTCAGTTGCCAAGTGCGAGCAGTTAACACACACTAGATAAATGTTTTCTGTAAACACATTTGCAGATACATCCGCAGAAGTGTGTGTGTGTGTGAGCATCTCCAGTCCGCAAACCATCTTTATCCTGTTGCAAATACCCTCAACAGCCAAATGATAGCTATGGCCGGAAGTCGTACTAAGGGAGTTTGTTAACGTTGTGGGGCGCAGGCCGTTTGCGCCCAAGCCCTCCACAATGAACGGCCAGAACTCACCTGGGATGGGGTGTGCTGTGCATCACGACTCAGCCACGTAGGCTGACGCGCAAACCATGCGTGGGAAAGAAGAAAGCGCCAACATCTCCCAGTGCTATCTTGAAAAGACGCGTTTGACTGCAAGACCCCGAGTGAGACAGGATGGTGCAGGAGTGCTGAGAGCGAGGCTTATCGAAATCTTGATGCTGTGCGCGCAGTTGACATGCAAATGCGTGCATCGCAACCACATGTAAGGCCTTGGCTCCAGTAAGAGGCAGGGAAGGCAGTAACAGTGATATGCAGCACATGCAAAAGCGATACTGCTTCTGTGAGAGCGTGCGACAGAAATGACATCCGTTGAGTCTGCGACACGTAGAACAGCCATCCCACCACACTCAGGGCCAACAGCACCTGCATGCGAGTAGCTGGTTCATGGACTTCAGAACAAGCTGCGCAGAATGTGCAGCGAAGCCTGAAATCTAGCCAAGTTACATACATGAAATTATCTGGGCCTGTTGGATCTACTTGTAGAATGTGCGGAAGACACGAAGTCAACAAAGGAGCTCCAGATTGAAGATGTTCCATGTTCGTTCGTGCTAATGAAAAATTCAGCTCATGTGAGTCGGCAACGACTGAGCTTGGTACCTGAAGACTAGCATAATAACTTCCAGGGCTAACTCCCAACACACTCACCAATGGAGCTTCTAGCCAATCACGATACCTGGAATCTACAACGCCTTTGACTCCTCGCTCGTCGCCTGATTTTGCTGGAAACGCGCCTTGAGTGCTTTGCCGTGCATGAAGTTGGCCCACTGTGTGTTCCTTGGAGTCGCTGCGGAAGGTTCAAAAGCTCCCCCAACAGTAAGCGGCAGAAGCAGAGCTTCATGCTTGTAGATGCACATATCTTCCTGCTCTGTGCGGTCGATGTTGATGACTCCTTCGACAAGGACGACATATGACGACATGGAATCTGAAGCACATGGATGCGAAACGACTTGCTGTCCTTGAAAGCCAGCTTGGCGGACTCGGTGCTTAATGTTCATGGCCTTTCTGAGGCAATATTTACTGATCGGAATAAGCTAGTCATGGTGCACCGCTTTGCTGATCTTCGGATGTCAAGGACATGGCCAACTCCTCCCAGCATGGCCAGGTAATTGTTTTCCTCCTTGGCAGTCTGTTCAGCACATGTTGCTGCGCATGACAACACTACCCATCACCACCCCTTCTTGGCACATGTGACACCATGCACAGCTCGTGTAGAATCTTTTACATGCACAAAAAGGGCTTCGGCTATCCACTGTGATGGCGGCCCCTTCATAAAAAGCGGCGGACACCCGCAATATGGCATTCGGCATCTTCGCTGCTTGCATCATGAGCAAGCAGCATATGCTGGCCATGACAACCATGAGATCAGGCAAACGATAGTAAACCTGGCCAATTGCAAAAATTCGATACTTTCTGAGAGCCAAGCATTTCGACAATTGCCATATCCTAGCACGACAATACACAAATACACGCGCGGACCCGTCTCACCCTGCTTGTACGACATGGTAGAACTCTTGAACAGGCCGGCTCCACGTTGGTGTCTTCTGCCAGGAAACTCCGAAGCTTCCGCAAGTCCTGCAAGAGCCACAGAATAGAATCGTTCATCCGAATGCCCTTGCTGCAAACCTCTTCGACACGAGATATAGTCTCGCGATCGTTACTTCTAAGCGACGATCCTGTGCAGGGACCGAATTTAGACCCGGTCCCGATATCGCGTAATCAACTCTGTAGGATTCCTTAAGAAAGCCAATGTATCACGGATGTCCCACTCAAAAGCTCAGGTATGGATGGCTTGTCGTCACCTATCGCCACGGCAATTCACCACTCTGTTGCTTGTCGAGTCCGGCCTACTCGAGCATCTTCAAGACCGAAGTAGCATGCGAAAGGGGTCTCGTGGCACATTCATCAGTGCTCGCTACATCTCCAGACCCTTACCCTTGGCCCTGGATTCCTCGCTCGGCACGCCAGCCTGTCAATGCACGATTGAACGCTGCAACAGTGTTCGGGGACTTGCTGTCGAGGTCGCTATGTAGCTTGGCTTTCAATCAAGAAACCCCTGCGCCTCTGGTGCGTCTTCATCGTCAGTGTCCTGTGCAGCAGTGCAGCGCAGCATGATTCACAACAGAGTCCGAGTCTGGAGGGGGGAACCTCTGGCTGCCGAAAGCTCGTCCGCGCCACCCACGGCCTGAGCGAACGTCAGATGCACTTAATTTCGGAGGATGTTTCGTCACCATTTGCGCGTGCGTGAAAGCGTGATTCTTTCCGGCCCACATTGCACTACCTCGCCGCTCCTCTCGCTGGCAGAGCTTCCTCCAAAAGCTTGCCACATCCCCACAAAACAGCTTGCCAGGTTCCGCGCGTCAAGTCTAGTGCGAACGAAAAGGCGACGGCATAAAGGCCATCTGCACGACTGCAGACTGCTACACTGAATGCCTATGTCTTTGACACATTCTGCGCCTCGCCAGAAGAAGGACCCGGGAAAGTTGTTGGTGACGGGCAGGTAGCCAGTAACCTCGCGCGCTCTTGCCAGGCACGAGTCTCAAGAGCTGACTGTAAGTCCCGTCACACTGTCACTACCGAACTCTGTACTTTGCAAGCCACGATGCAAACTCCTTGCAAATGCATTCTACCAGCTGCCGTCGCAGTTGCCCGCATTCTAAGTGAATTGCTCGCAGATGGACTTGCTTCGGCTTCTGGTTGAATGCCTGCAGGACAGTTGGAAACTCCAAAAACTTTCGAGTGAGCGAGGTTGAAGCCTTGGCTGTGAAGGTGCTCGTCTGGCTGTTCGGGACTCCAAAGTGCGAACGCGGAAGATAGAAATCAAAGCCAATGCCCTATCCAGCTCTAGTCGGGTATACGTAGTACATTGTAGTCAGCATAACACTTCTTCACTAGGTCTGCGTGCCACCGCTAGCCGCGGCAAATTTGCTGAGTAATGTTCCTGTCCATTCATCTTCTTGCTCTTTCTCTAAGTCATAGTCATCTTTAGCTCGTGAGGGCTCCAGGCCACTCTGCCGCTACATGCCTGGCCATTCTGGATTCCGCGACACAAGACTCCCAAAATCTTCAAAAAAAGCTGCTGACATGAGTGGTAGGCACATCATCACATCCAATCAACTTCGACTTGACCGCCTCCAGGAAAGCGATTTCCTCTGCCTGGTCTGCCTGGCAACTTCTGGCAGCAATCAAGTCAACGCATGTGAAGCGGACAAAACCTTCTTTTCCAGCATGAACATGAACAGGCAGCTTCGATCTCTTGAAATCTTTTGGAGGCGGCTTACACGGAACGCCCTTTCGCGTTTGGACTCAGGTTTCTTGACACGAACTTCCCTTCTGGTTTCCTTGCCAGGGCCGCGGCTGTGCTAATGTACATCCGCGGGTCTGCGTAAAACTTCACCCGAGATCTGTTTGCAGCCTGCAGGCAGTCTGCCGATAACTTGGGGCCGAAAGGACTGATGTCTGCACCTGTCTGTGCGCTAGGCAAGCGCTGAAGGACAAGGTCGCATAGTACACGAACCTCAGCTCTGCACTCAAGGACCACCTTGGTTTTCTGACCCGAACACCACAAGAGATGGCACCTGAAGCCAGTCGGACTAGAAGATCCGCCAAGGTGTCGACAGTTCCACTGAAGAGACTCTGAATGTTTTCCAGCAATGAGTCCCTGGCAGAAGCAAGCACATCACGACCAAGTCCTGCATCTTCATCCGGCGAATGAGATCCTGACATGCTCGGCTTTCCTTGCGAAAGCTGGAGTAGCTGAGGTTTCGAGTTCCCGGCTCGATCGAAGTTGATGCTTCCCGTGTTGCCGACAGATGCTCCGATGCCGCCGGCCACTGCCAACAGCATCCTGCATGCCAGGCGGAGCTAAGACGAGAGATAGCATCCTGCCATTTGGGCTCTCGAAGAACTCGGATTACAAAGGCGTCACGCTTTGGAAGAAAGCCGCCCAGTCTTGTTCATCTCTTGCCAAGGAGCGGTTGCTCAGCAACAGATGACAGCACGCCACCGGTGTTGGCTGGATGGCTGCTGTCCAGTTCCTGGTACGCATGCAGAACCACGGCATGTCAAGCGTGGACCTCCAAGCCATAAAAGTAAACTCTCAACCAGACAGATTAGGAAGTGTGCGGAAAGCGCGGGTGCCTGCTCCAACACGCGCATCTGCTTCCTCTGGTCGTCCTAGGCTAAGTACTTAGTGGTAGGACCAGCAGCAGTAGTAGTAGTCGTGGTGGTGGTGGTGGTGGTGGCGTCGTTCGCAGCTATCGCAGCTGAGCGATCCCACTCCCAAGGACAAGCCATCGAGAACCCGCCTTCACATGCAAATGCTGCAGTGCTGCAGCGCTGTACATGTAACTAATGTCAAACATCTTCCCTTTCCTACCCTTGTCACCTTGCCCCTTTGACAAGGGAAGCTCGACGGCTCGGTGCAGACATTCCAGCATTTGAAGCATGACCGGAAGACTTCGTGGGGGAATCTGCGTAGTCTTTTACCTCACCTGGCCTGGACAAACAGGAACACCCCTCAACAACCTGACTTGCTTAAAAACCGAAAACAAAAGAGAGCCGCAGGGTCTAAGGCTTGTGTTCTGGGCATCAACAAAACATGTTTCGCCACTCTGACAACCGTACCAGCAAGCATCGAACCATGAAACCAAGGCCCCGGCAGTCAGCCTTTGATTCCTGACATGTCAAGTCCGCACAAGATGTTTAAAGACTCTTTGTCCTGGTGCAGCAACCCTTCGTTCATAACTTACTTTATGTAATAGACTGTGGCCGGCCCGGGTCTCAAGGTCTCAGGTTGAGCTGCAGCCGAAGACAGCCAAGCTGGCAGGTTACCGAAGCAAGAAAGTGTCTGGCACTGCAGAGCAGGTCGACGTACGAACAGTGTCATAGAAAGACCACGTCGAGATGCATGTCGCGTCTAATTATACCAGTATAGTAAGCAGCATGGTCGTACATGAGTAGAACATGGCGGCACCAGCCGATAGAAGCTGTCAGCTAAGATCAGAGTACTAGACAATGCACTAGCACAGAGGCCCCCTCCCGGTGAAGCCTAGCCATGGACTCGGAGCCGTCGTCCTCTTCCTTTTCAGATTCGGACTCTGCAGGGCTTCAGCGCCATTATCATGGGCTGACAATACCAGCTTCTTGGATCTTCTTGGCAACATGTGCATGGCACTCCGCACTGCGGAAACAGTCAGAACAGAGCGAAGCTTACATTCTGAGCAGAAACTTCTTTGGGACCTTACTAGATACACCTGGAAAACTCAGCACAAGAAAGCCTCATTGGAAAAATGCCTCCCGCGCTTCACCGTCGCTGGAGTAGTCGTTGCCCAGGTCCCAGCGATGCTGTCGCCCTCAGCATTCGGAGTCTGACTTCGGAGCCGGCAAGATCGGATGCCCCACAGGTGAGAACATTATTCGAAATCTTGGGCACGCTAGCTGCTAGCCTGTTATGCAAGCAGTCTGTAGCTTCAAGTTACTGTCTCCCGGGGCGCGAACCATGGGCTATCACTGAGACGTGCCCCTCATGGGCTGCCTGCATAGGTCTGAAGGGGCTTTGCAGTGGTAGCACTGTTCCGCTGTGTGCTCGATGGCAATTCACGCTATCTGAGCCCTACAATCCTAGTGCTCCCAGCAAAGCCACATGCCCGAGCTCGTCCGGGCGCGAGAAGTTAAGACTATCCCTTTCCCGGATCGAGGCATGCTTCCTTTCAAGTCTTTGTCTGCGTCTTCTGACGAGAAAACAGGAGAAAACTGTGTACTTGAGGATATTACGGTCGGGACCCAGTGACTGAGTATTAGCACATTGTCGTTGATGCAGGAGCGTTTCATGCTCTTCGATGGGAGCTGGGAGAACCTCAGAAAAGCTTGAGAAGTCTCCTTGCGGACAGCAGGTGCCTCTGAAGTTCGCCGGGCGAAGAGCCGGTGCATCGCGGCCTTCTGCCTGGCCTGCGTCTGCGCAGAGACCTCGGAAAATTCGCAAGCTACAGATTCACTTCAGTACGAGTACGGCGAGTACGGATTTTGGAGCTTGGCCCTGGCTTTCGAACTTGAGGAAGCCGCCGAGGCCTCGCCAAGCAAAACAGTTGTTCTTGGGGCTGTTTTATGCTCTTCTTTCCGCCAGCTCAAGCCTTCTGCACTGCCTCTGCGGAGGTGTGCGAGATGTTCTCGTGGTCTGCGAGAGCTAGAGCGGAGGAAGCCTGGCTCACTTCGCTACCACTTCAGCGGCCGTCGACCTTTCGACTCTGCGCTCCTTCAAACTCAGCGCTGGCAGAAGAGGCGCAGTCTCCAACACCTCGCGACAAAGAGAAGTGCCCGCTGAGGAACAAGCACGACAGGAGGTGCACGGTGCTCACATGTGCTCACATTCACGAAACGGTGGACGAACCGGGCTGAAGCGAAGCCGCAGTCGGACAGCCCAGACAAAGAAGCGGGCAGCGGGCCTTTCCAGCAGCGTCTTGGGAAGCTGCGGCCGAAGCCTGCCAGAAGCTGTCACGGAGTCTCTCCACAACGTGTAGGCCGAGGCCCTTCTGTAAAAGCAATCTCGCCTTTGCAGCATCCAAGTCGTTTGCAGGTCGATCGGCCGAAGCCTGCAACAGCTCTCTTCAGAGAGGACAGCTGCACTGCTGTAAGTAGATTGCTAGATGGTCAGCAAACATCACGGGCGGGCACGCAAAGCAAGCTCGAGTATGCTGATTGGTCCTTCTAACCTCTCACAAAACAAAACTTCACCAGTCCGCCGAGCGACAACGATAAAGGCTTGGCATACAATTGGCAAGGTTTCCAAGCATGTGTGGAAGCTGTGTCAGAATCCTTCCACACACACCGAACAGGTGAGCAAGTGAAACGCCACGGACATGTCACGAGCACACAATGTACAAGCGGTGCTCCTCCTCCAGCTCGTTTTCGTCTACTGGCAGACGCTCACAAAGCACTGTAGTCACACCTTAGTCTGCAGGGCTCCGCCAGGGACGGGTCCTTTGGCAAAAGTTTGGGATAGGCAAGGCATGCAAGGCTTGCCGGGCACATTTAGATACATTTAGCAGGCGCACGGAAAGCTGAGAACATGCCAGCACATTCCAGTCTGAGCTGGCAGCAGAAGTACATCGAAAGAGCTGCGAGCATCCGCCTTCGAACAAGTGCCTTGGACCTGAGGCTGCCCAGTCACAAGCAAAACGCCCGCCAAGCAGCGTATATGCGGCGTACATCTGTCTCAGAATGCCCAGAAGGCTCAGGCTTCTGCAGGCAGACATATGTAGGGCCTGACATAGCCAAAGGCAGCGAAGCCTCAGCAGGCGCGCGTGAGCGTCATCCGTCGGCTTTTGCGTCTCTCGCAACTCAGTTCCCGACCCCCTTGGGGCTGTCGCAAAAGGCGACACCGCCTTCCTAGAGAAATAGCATCGCCGTGGAGCCAAGCCGAGCACGGATTTCATGTTTCATGGTAGCAAAGGCCTCAGACTATACACTACCTTGCCAGAGAGAGCGGCATGAGGATGTTTTTGCCGCACAAAAGTTCAAGCTCTGCGGCGACTGTTGTAGCTGCACTCACGGTCTGAATGCCTTAAACATCGGTGTGATTTCGACTTGACTTTGAAGCCGCATCGATTCCAAACGGGTCGATGCCGTCCTGACGGGATGAGCCGATGGGACCGAAGAGCTGCTACTCCCGGCTGCCGATGTTCAGCAGAGCCTACGGCCGATCGGACTTGACAAAGCAGCTCACGACTGCGCAGCCCCGCAGTGCAGCTGTGACAAGACATATTTGTCATATCAGATGGGATCTGACTCCAAGAGTTCATCGAGCTCGGCGAGCCTGTAAGCCAATGAATTGGGCAGTCAGCATTGCTGAACTGAAAAGCTCATTCTCGTTTGCCCGGAATCCAACGACCGCCAATAAGCACATCCACTCAATGCATCCAACCCAATGCAGTGTCCCAAAGGAGTTCCGAATGCCTCAACGACTGGAGCTAATTGCCATCCAGCCTGTCCGTGCCGAGATAGACCTGCAACCCGAACCTGTGCTTTGTCGTTGGCGGCACTTCTATAACTTGGGACCGCGTAGTCACTAGCGTAGTCTCCAATACGGTAGGAAAACACATGAACATACAATAAAGCTTGCAACACATGCAGGATATTGGCAAACACATTACATAGCGTGCAATCACATACCGCCTCAACACCAAAGCTTCGGCATTCCGACGCAATACAGCAATTGAGCCCATTGGGAGTGACGAGCTCTGGGATGTGTGGGCTGCTGCTTTATCGTTCCTTTTAAATCGAGGTGCCGGTCGATTCCGCGGTCCCTCATGGTTGCGGCATCGTTGTCGAGGTCGATGAGAACAGCTGAGCCTCGAAAGAACATTGATAGTGCTGCCTTGGCAGTATGAGGAAGGCAGACTTGAACATCTGAAACACGCTTTGCCTTGGTCAAACTCTGCGACCAGCTCAGCTGTAAGCACTTGCCTGTCCTCAGCGGACTCTGCAGGACAGAACAGTTTGAGAAGATGCAAGGACGTCACAAACACAATACAAGAACAAAGCCGTGTATATATATATATGTATATATATATATGTTTATCGAGATATATACCACACACACATATGTGTGTATGTAGATATAAACATACATATGTATGGAGAAAAGAGAGAGAGAGAGAGAGAGAGAGAGAGAGAGAGAGACATTAGGATGTCCTTAAGGGGGGGTGGTCCAAGGGGGGTAGGTAACCTAGTAATCCCCATTATTCCCCAATACTCCCTAAGCTTCCCTAAGGTTCCCCAAAGCTCCCTAGTACCCTCCCCCCTTGAACCACCCCCCCTTAAGGATCCTATAAGAGACAGGGAGAGAGACAGGGAGAGAGACAGAGAGAGAGACAGAGAGAGAGACAGAGAGAGAGAGACAGAGAGAGAGAGAGAGAGAGACAGAGAGAGAGAGACAGAGAGAGAGACAGACAGAGAGACACAGAGAGAGAGACAGAGAGAGAGAGACAGAGAGAGAGAGACAGAGAGAGAGCTAGAGAGAGAGAGACAGACAGACACTCTCACTCACTCCCTCCCCCTTCCCCGTAACTAACTCCTCCCACCTACCTCCCTCCGTGCCTGCATCCCTGGATTCCTGCCTGCCTGCTTGTCTGCCGACGTCCATCCCGTCCTGCCTCTGCCTACATACCTGCATGGTCCTTCACACATACGTACCTTGCTACATCCCTGTACATGGACTCACTGTTGAAAATTCAAGAGCCATGTGTCTGCAGGGATGGCGAGCTTGATCCTGAGCGCAGCTGCAGGTTTCTCACACGTTTCGACATCCACGGGCTGGAACGTCTCAGCTTGTGGCTGCAGCAGCTTCTTGAGCTCAGCCACGGTGGTCAAAGGTTGCAAGTCGAAGAGCAAACGCCTACACGACACCGCTCACCACATGCTTCCTCAGAAGCATTCGGATTGTGCCGCACCCGTTCCTACTCTCCGGCCTCTCTCCGTATCTTTTGAGCTTCCTCTGTCCCGCCACTTCTTCCCAAACCGCGGTGTCCAAGGACGCTGACCTCGCTCCCAGCAACTCAGGGATTTGAGCCTGTGACAGCTTATGACGACGCAAGCCTTCGTGCAATGCGATTAGCCTCATATCAGGCATTGGCATGCGCACAGCTATCTCATTGCTATCCCACGTTCAAGATCTTGGTTTGGGATAATTCGACAAGACCTTCCGGCGCAGAAAAGGCCTGTGGAAGACGCTTAGCACTTTGTGCTTCAAGATTCCGTGGGGCATGTTCTGTTCCAGGTTCCCCTGTCAGGCTTTCGACGTTCACCATCAGAACCTCTCGGCGAGCGTATTTTGACCTGATTAAGAACGTGAAGTAGACAGTTAGTCCCGGATGGCTGAAGGCAATCGACTTTGTCAGTATATACCAAGGAGAAGACCTAGATGTGCAAGAAGCACATCATGCAGCTCTCCGCAATCTCGAGTCAAGGAGTTGGCGATGCTTGGGCTCTCTCGCTGATCCGCGCTGTTGTGTTGAGTGCACATTCTCTCAGTGAATACAAAGAAATGCAATGTGAGTCGAATCTCCCTACTTGGCTCTGCAGCTGGACAGGATGACTACATTACTCGCGCATTATGCGGCTCTCAAATGCTGATACTGAACAGTTTGGTCTGACGAGACGTAATCTTTGAAGAAACCTTAGACTACAAGTAGCTTATGCTCAAAGACTAAACTTCAACAGCATGCTGAACATTGTCGAAACCCTTGCCAGATGGCACCATTGTCCGACATGCCTTTCATCCAGAAAACAACCTGTGTGAACAGACTTGTGCTCTGCAGCTGCCATGTTAAGCCATGGTATTCTTAACAACTGGGAGTAGGATTTGTTTCAGCAACTTTCCTGAACACAGACTTTTTGAATTCGAGATGTACCACAAATCATTCCGAAGGCGGCGGTAGCAACAGCAGCAGCAGTACTGGCGGAGTAGGAGCTCGAGTAGTAGAAGTGGAAGGAGGGCTACAGCGGCTACAGTAGGAGTTGCAGTTACAATGCACGTGACAGCCAACACTTGTTCGCCATGAGCCTGTTGAACATCTCCTTACATTTTCCAAGACCAGACTACGAAACGTCTGCGCGTGTGTAGTCAATGTTGCGCAGGTCTTGCACAGAGTCCCTGAACATTCTTGAAAGGGCCCGGGATGCTCTCAGCTGCGAACATCACCACCGGCAGCTCGAAGCCCTGTCCGCAGCACGAGCGGCACGATTGATCGCGCACTGCAGATTTGCGTTGGCCAAGCTATGCCAAGAACATCCAAAAGGCTTCCCAAGCACCGAAGGAAAAAAACACGAAAATGCGCCATCTCGGAGGCCTGCAGCGCGGGCTTCATGACGAATCTTGGAGGCCAATTCTCCTGATGTCGCAGTTCTGGCGGGTCATGGAGAGAGACGCTTAAGCAGCTGCAGATGCTCTATCCGAGGCCGGGTCCAAGCCGAATCCTGACCATTGCGCGAAGCACTCCCCAAGTTTTGTCGCATCCTGGCAGAGCCACAGAGCAGTCCTTCTTGGTTTGTCCCGGCCCCCAATGCGGTAAACGGTCCCGAAGTTCATGCGGCGGGAGGAAGATGCGCGGCGACTCGGAGGCCAGGCCATCCTTTTCGCCAGCGTCGAGGGGACGAGAAGGGCCGCATCTCAAAGTCATTTCCTTTTTGCATCCCACCGTTCTCTGTCCTTCAAGAGGCGATCCTTCAGGCTCCGGACTGTGTCCCGACCCCGGAATCCTTCTAGGATGACCTGGAATGGATGTGTCTTGGGGCTGGGACTTTCTTGAGAGATGCTAGTCGGTGATTCTTACCTTGGGCCTATTCATTTCTGTGATTGCTGAAGCAACCTACTTGCTGTGTGCTGTCCACCGAGTCATAAAGGCAATTGCAAGCCCAAGTTCTGTGCAAATGAAAAGGAATTGAACCCTAAATGCGTGGGGATTTGATCTTGATGTTGCCCTTGTTGCTCACCCCACAGAGCTATGTTGAATAATGGCGTGGTTGCCCTTTACGAACTCAGCCACTCTCTCTTTCCCTTTCTCCCACGTAAGCCACACTTCCCTTGCAGGCAGATCCAGAGCTCACTTGTTTTGCACTCTCGCGGCCAGCGATGGATCGTCTGTGCACGGGATGGCTCTGTCCCTCGGAAGGTCACAGAAGACGAATAGCTTTTAGCTATGGGCAATGCTTTCTAGGGCATGTGCTCACACTTGAGCCAAAGTTGCGTGGGCGGAAAGCATACAGGAAGGTTCGGCATTGCGGCGTGCGTAGCACTTCCACAAGCCTAAACCTAGAGACGAAGGACGCATAGCGTGCCTTCTCTCTTGTCCTATACATGACCTCGCTCACAGCTCTTATCGTGACACCGTAGAACTTGACTAGGCATCGCAGTCCGTTCGCACCCCCCATGAGTTGCGTCTCCGACGCTGCTCACCCGGAAGATGGCGCGATAGGAACACTATGGATTAGTCCGCCGCAACTTTGAAATGTGGAATCAGAGCCTTGCATCCCAATTAGAAACTGTGTGACACTCAGCTACGTCGGTAACGATCCCCTGAAATGACAAACGAATCAGGCGTCACCGAAGAAAGAGGCATTCGCAATGAAGTTCATAAACGAAGTGCAGAGGTCACGTTGATAAAGGTAAAGCCGATCATACGTTGTCCCGATACCACTGACGGGTAGCCGCGGGATCAGAGGGAGGATCACGTTCCCAAGGTCTGAGGTTTTGTTCTGGATATGGAGATCTGCCCTTTCCCTTGGCTTTCCCTTGTTCCTGCTCTTCCCCTCGATGTAGTCGTGGTACGTGTTGGAATTCCATCCTCCATGTTGTCCACTTCCTTTTGGGCGAGATTTGGGAGCAGCAGTGGATGTGGAAGCGCTCGAAGTTTCTTCTGCTGTGACAGGTGTGTCCATGATGGAGGTTTGCCCGCGCGGAAGATACTCATCGGCTGAAATGTGATGCAATGCTTCAGGACGACGCGCATTTGGATGCAACTGTCGTTCGACCCTGCTGGCGTGCAGTTTGTCCAAGAGGTTGGACGGCATCTGTACGTTGTGATCCACGAGCAACCCGATGGTCTGTGTGGAATGATCCGTGTGCATCAATAGGATCCCGACTGGGTCGATGTACAGAAAGTCCACTGGTCCAGTTGGCGTAGGCCGAAGAACAGAAAATTGCGAGTGTCCTTTTACCATGGGAATAACTTCGCAGAGGACATTCAAGCAGCAGAAGTGCATCACCTTCACCTCGCTCTCGTCCTTCAGATAAGCGCTGGGATTGAAGTTTTCCCTGCCAATTCCCATCATGTTGGCTCCTCGGACCAACGTCGAGATCAGCTGGTGCGTTCGGAAGCGCTTGAGGGTGTACGTCCCGTTGGGATCATACGACTTGACATTGTCCCTTTCTTTGGCAAAACGGAGGATTTCTTCATCAGTCACCTCCCTGCTCACTCCGGTGCTGGAGTCCACTTCTGCCAAAACACCCCACTTTCCAAGCACATCATAGCGTTGGCCATTGGCAAAACTTTCTTTTAGTTGGAACAATGGCACCGTCGCCCACTTCGCAAAACCTGACCACGACTTGTAGATGCATCGGCAAACCACGTACGCCATGTAGGAGAGGGCGGCCATGTTAGCATCGATGCAACGTGCATTTCGTTTGTTGTGGTAGTAGGGCGGTTGCATTGCCGTGCGGGCGATCTGCAGTTCAGGGTCGATGTTCAAGGATTGACCGGCAATCAAGACAGGGCGACGTTCAAGTGCCACGGCTTCAGGTACCTCGTCGTCGAAGTCTGCCGCCTGATCGGTGTCCATCTCCTCGTCGGGCTCCTGCTCTGCATCTTCGTCTGCGATGATGGAAGGTTCGGGAATGCCTTCAGGTTCTGCCACAGTCTCAACCTCCATGGCTTCTTGTTCTTCAGCAGTTGTCTCAGGTACCGCTGCGGCAGCAGCCTCCATTGTCTGAGCAATGAATTCACTTGGGATCTCCGTAGGAGTCTCCCGTTGTGAGGTGCCTTGATGATAACCACACGAGATGAATTGCGACCAGCACGATGTACAGCGAGAGAAACATGCCGGTACAATGTTGTAGCACGCGGGGCACACCCTCATTCTTCTGCCATCTCCTTCTCTTCGTAGATCTTCGGGTCGCCAGTTCTTGATGATGAACTTGATGGCTTTGTCCATGTAGTGATGGCGCACGGTGTTCTCCCTGTGGGATTCGAGCACGGTAGTGAGGTCACGAATGATCTGTTCCTTACTGGCATCGTGGGGACCTGACGGCATGTCACAGAGTAGCTCCATGATCTTGGCCGGTGTCCGGTACCTTTCGAATTCCGGGAGCAATGGAGATCCATTGAAATCCAGCACCATCTCTTTCTCCAAACGTTCATCGTAGATCTTTTCGATCAGTGCGAAAGAATGTGTATCTCGAGGATTCGGCACGCAAAACCATACCTCCTTGACGAACGCGAACGAAATCGTACGCCCAACAATGATAACACCACTGTCGGTGATACGTCCACCTTCTCGGGCAAGATCTGTTGAAGCTACGTGCAGGACGACAAGCGGCATGTGCTTGGCCTCCGGTCCGTGCACCCGAGTCTTCGTCGTAGCATTCCTCGTGTCAAACGGTGCGAATACCCCCCAGTAGCTGTGGAGCCGGCCTCCTCTGTCATCTCTGTTCTGGCGGCGCTGGTCGAAGTCCCCGTCGGGGTCCTCCGAACCAGGCATGATGCCTTGCAGAACGATGGAATCAAGATTGCGGCATGCCGTCGCGTGGAATGCGCCTCCAAGACGCCCCAAAAGGGTCATCGACGGAGATATTGCGAACCTGTCCTTGTCCAACTGGAGCAAGTTGTTCTGGGGATCGGAGTGCGTAGAGTGGCCACTGGTAGCCCGAACTGCCCACGGTTTGACCCAGCCTTTGCATTGCGTCAAATATTGTTGATTGGGTCGGCAATGGTCGTTGTTCTGGATCTCGGTGATCTGCTCCTGCGCTGAAACCAGTCTGTTCGATTCTGCTGATCCAAGAGGTCCACCGCCAGGGTCTTTCACTCTCACACCCAGGAACTGGAGCCGAATTTCGGCTTTGTACCGTTTTGTGGCTGCCAGCATGTTTCCCTGGAACAGTAGCTGTAGTCTCTCATTGTACACTCTCTTCCTGTGATCGTTGTCGCGTCCAAGAGCTCCTTCGGTAATGTGCCTGCTGTTGTGGGTCCAAAGCTCTTCTTGTCTGACCAGGTCCTCGATCAACACCCATCCTCCTTCGTCACATCGAAGTACGCTCATGAATGCAACTTGGCATCGCCCATCCAGCCATTCTGACCCTGGGCCCCTTGCGATACTGTGGCGTAAGTCAGACTGAATGCATGACAGAGCCCAGTCGGCGTTCCTTCTGCGGTGGGATGGAATGTTGCGAATCACAACCTCGTCGACGACGTCCCATCTGGAATTGATGAAGCGCGCGCCTTTGGTTGGAACCAGATCAAGAATTCCACACCTGATCGGCCTTCCGCCTCCAATGGATTCATAGCCTTGGTTGGCCCACTGCCGAGTATGCTGATCAAACTCGTAACTTGCACGATCTCCTCGTTGAGGTAGTCGGCGGTCACGATGATCTGATAGCTGTTCAATGAGATCCACCACGCGCTGGCTGTTCTCTGGTCCCATTTCCTGCAGCGGTATGCCGCAAGCATCATGTAGACCTCGACGGTTCTCCACGTCGGCACATAGGTTGTGAGGGTTCTCGTAGCGGATCAGGACGATGTCGCTCCGAACGGCCTCGCCTCCACGTCGTGGTCGGGCTTTGGCCTTGGGTCGTCGGTCCGATGATGCTACGCTCACATGGTCTGTGGAGTCAACGTCCATTGTTGTGCAGGTGGTCGACGAGGATAGCGAAGAAGACTGTCCTTAATGATCTGGAGACCACGTTGGACCAAATCTCGTGTAGCAGCATTTTCAGTGCAATTGGACAAGTGGTGTTCATCACTGCCACAAGCGACGCAGAAGGTGAAATCGTGGATTCCCACCGTAGATTCACCTTGAGAAAGTACTTCCACATAGTCGCGGAGCTGTGCCACAAGCCCTTCACGAATCATTTGGCGTGGGTCAGGTTCTTCTACACCCTGTTCTTCTTCAGGTTGTGCATCCAAGTCCATCTCCTGGCTCGGCATTGGCGGTGCAACGGAAACTCCTGCTTCGTCCGTGACGTGGTCAGCGGCCTGCGTTTCGTCAGTCCGGCCAATCTCCACAGGGTAGATGTCGCCATCAACGATGACCGTGAAATCAATCACAAGGTCTGCAGACATGCCTGTCACGATCTCGGCAATCGCTTCGTTCTTCTTGGGCGGTGTTCTCTTGCGCGGGGAGTCGACCGTGATGAGCTCGATGGCCTCGGCCGATGCATAGCGGAAGAACGATCTTTCGATTCCCCTCACGCATGCGTTCGCCCCTTCAAGTCCACCCCAATTCGGGAAGTGCGCTGGGTACCTCATTGCAATCGTAAGAATGCCAAGCGCCAACTCCAAGGTATCTCCCAACAGCTCTTCTTTCGGCGAAATGGAGCCTCGGTAGCAATCTCGGCGTTCATCCGGAGTCAGAAGCATCCTCATGAATCCGGCGTATGCACAGTTCCCAGCGTCATAGTAGCAAATGTAGCAAGTCCTCCCTTCAGCATCATATCCTCTGTTCCATGCCAGCTGTTTGGCCTTTCCCCATGCCGCGTACTCGATGGCCTGGTTGGCTGTA